GTCGACCTCCTCGTCCAAATTTCCTAAAGTATCTCTTCAATAGGTGTTCCATACTCGCCATCAATTAACAAATAAGGAAGCCTTGACTATGCTCTGGTCTTTTGTAAAGAAAGCGGCCCGAGAAATCTAGGAGAAAACGCGAGACGTAGTCGAGTGTTGTTTCTAGCTACTTCTTTAACATTTGCTTTATAATGAAGATTATGTCAAATTCCCAACGCATTCCTTACTATTTTCAAAACAAATTCTAATTTTCGAACCAACCAAAAGTGTTGTTGCTATGTTCTATACTCCCACTAAACGTGTTACAATGAGCCAATCGCATTCTGTGCGAAACTGATTCAAGTAGTTCGATTGGTTGAATAAGACTTCAGCCGTCAAAAATGTCAAATCATCAAAGTTCCCAATCTGTAAGAGTTCACAAACTTAAATAATTCAGCAACTCCAATCTAAAAACATTTTCTATTCTTGATACAGAATCTGAAAGTGAAATGCACTGTGAAATCAGCCCGAATCGTGTCTCATAAAGACATGCAAGTTTTTTGAAATAGCAATTAGCAAGCAAACTGCCCGAGGCGTATGTTTCATGAATGATCGACTGCCAAATTCTTAGGAACTTGACGATAGCTCGGCATGACAGCGTTGTAACATACGCGAAAACATTCAAGCTGTCCTTTTCGTTTTCTTTTTGAGGATTTTCGTCTCCTATCAAGTACCGATAACGTTAATTACGGCGCTTGGCTTGTTTACAAACCCTTGTTTGGTTCTTCTGTAGCTACTTGCCGGGTCATTTTTCCGAAACTCCGCTTTCAATTAACGAAAAATAAATGATAATAGATTAATAGGTCTTTCTTGTTTTTAAGTTGAGAGAACTCTGGAAAAGGGTGGAAGTACAAATTGGCCGATGGCGGACAGCTTTAGCTAAGCTCCGTGTTTAGTAATGTAATAGAACACGCCCTTTCGGCCATTGACAGAGCGCATTATATCCAAGCTTTATTATAATATAATTAATGTTAATGAAATTACTTGCGATCTTAATACACTGTCCTTTACCTCATGAAAACATACAAATGATTTCGGAAAGGAGAAAAACTAGTCAAACATGCAAACACAAGACAACAAAGAGAAACAAATACCAAAATGCACAACGCAAAAAACCCGGAACCGACGACGTATTTTCTGAATAAGATGCTGTATGGCAAACCTTTGTTTTAAGATAGGTATCCATTGTTTTGCAGAGGTTCACAAAGTGTGGCCGGGCAGCAGTTTGATATTTCCAGCAGCTTAACATTACCGCGTATCTATAGGAAAACAATGGAATTATCTTTCTGTAAGAGTTGCGTAACCACAACTAGCTACAATTATACCTGAAATGCTAAGTTTACTAAAAGAAAAATCCCTTGATTTACCTTGTTACATTGCAGTTCAAATGGAGCTTGGATCAAAAAACCCAAACTATTCTAAATTTGTCTCATCAACCTTGAACTGACTAAGTTGGGTGATGTGAATCTCATTTTTTGATGTCTTTTTGTTATTTGTTTTTTGTTTTGTTTTTTCCTTTGGTTTTTTTTTTTGTTTTGTTTTGTTTTGCTTTGTTCTGTTTTTTGTTTTTTTGCTTTTGTTTTGTTTTGACTTTGTTTTGCTTTTGTTTAGTTTTGTTTAATCAGTTTTGTTTTGTTTTTGTTTTTTTTATTGATAGCGCAAACTTTTTAGGAAGGCTATTTATTTAGTCTGAACAGATTTTAAGGTTCACGAAGTATTTACATCATCATCATCACCAAAAATTAATGCAAGCTACAACAAACCCACCACGATAGCTATCGCATCTCACTTTATTTATGTAACGTTATATTTTTTTTGTACAACCCATGTTCAGTATTATATAGAAGAAGCCGAACTTACAAACTGTCGTCGATATGTTCAGGCTTTGGTAAACGGTAACCTTGATAGATTTTTCTCATTATCGTGGTTTCAGACCATCCTTCGTATGGAATGCCTCCTGTGGACAAATAAAAGAGCATGACTGTTTTGTTGTAATCAGTTTCATCTCAATTGGCACGATCGGAATGATTTCAACGTTAAAATGATAGTTATGGAAAAATATTCCTGTTTACATCAAATAAAAGATAGAAGAAGAAAGGTTTTCAAGCAATGTGATAAAATAGTTTATTGATCAGCGACATTGATTATTGCCATTTCTTCTCTATTATGCAATGCTACTGTAGCTGCTCATGGTATAACCTTTCAACTAGCAATTGTGCAAGCAATTTCGGCGAGTATATTTTCTGAAAGTAAACTATCAAATAAGTGAAGTGAGTACCGATTGTGAAGATTTCAAACAGGACTATGCCATAAGACCACCTGTGGAATAAATAGAGGGATGACAACTCATGTCAACTAGGGCAGAAAAATAATCTTTAATTCAGACACTTCAAATGTTTTAGAATATGTTTATCAAGATATAAAGAAAGCCTTAAAGATAAAAAATCCATAGTTATTTATTTGATCATCCATTTATCTCTTTATCTCTTTTTTCTCATAATCAGGTTTTAAGAGATGTCACCGAAAATCAGACAAATTCACAAATCACCAGCAACAGTGAAAAAACTGAGTTGGGTCATATTCTAGTATTAGGTAGGCCTATAGGTAAAACAAACCAAGACATAGGTAGTTTGTTGAAAAATTTTTTTTCTAGAAAATTGATAAAACTCAGTTTAGGCATAATTAGCTTCATTCGAAGCCCGAGTTTAGCCCATTTTTATAGGCGAGGTACTTGTAAAAGCCGTGAAAAACTTACTTATTCCACAGACTTTTAAAAAAATGTCTCCTCTATGTTTTCACAAAAAAGTAGAATCACTATTCAAATTTGAAATAAAATAAGGATTTTTCTATCTACTTACTTAGGTGCCGTGTGAAAAGTAGGGTAGCTTCAAAAAAATATTTTCATATGTACTAAGTGAAATAAACTTTTATTATTTGACTCTCTCTTTGCGGATGATCGTGGCTTCAATCCAAAAGACAGAAAAGGGGATAGGCGAATACTACCTTTGCTGTCATGTGACGAGGAAATAGCAGGGCATTCGGCTCATTTTTGAATCACTGGTGTGTTCACCGAATTTGACTTGATAATGAGTACAGCAGCTGTTTTCCAAAGACCCAACCATGTTGATATATGGACAATATGCCCACTTCATCGCTCAAGACTTGGTCTTGGATGGACTCAAGGGGTAAATACTAAGTGGAGAGTGCCAGCAGATATTTCCGGGCATAAAGCGAAGAAGCTTCCCAAAGCAGACAGAGGGTTAAGGAAAGAGGATTCTCAGTTAATTTTCACGAATCAGGGTATCTTATTCCGGTTGGTTCAGGTAATTATCCTATTTCCTTGCGATCGCGTTTAACTCCTGTTTTATTATTGTTGTACTTCTTGATAGCATGCGCACCGAAAATCAATATTGAATGTTTTACAACAGTTAACAATTGCGTCAACAGGTTGTATTCATTCAGTAAACTCCGCCCTTGTAGACACGCCCTGCAGTTAGCTAGTATCAGCCAGGCGAGGGGAGTTGTACTACCATTAGTCATGGTACAAATTCAAATTAAATAATTTAGTTAGTCATCTATTATTTAGTTATGTTCTAATTCATTTGTATTTCAGTTCTATTTTCCATATTTTAAAAGTTTTGCTTTGAAAACATTACAGATTATGCATTGAATGTAGACATGTCTCTGGTTGTTAGTTTGTCGTCACCAAGAGACAAACTGAATATGTATTTAGAATCAAGAGATGTCAGTTCCATTCGACTTGTACTTTCTACTCCGTAGAATGAAGCCTCGGAGCGCACTAAGCGTTACAATACCAATAAAGGATGACGTATGATCACCACTTGCCTCAATGAACTAGCTCTCAGACAACCTGATGAAGTACTTGATTGTTTGACAAGATCGAACTTTAAAGGCGTGGATGATAGTCTTGACTACACTTTGCTTGAAGCTCTTTCTGAGTGTTATAAGAATGCAAATAACTGATCCAAAAGGCGACAAGTGCTGTCCATTCTGGTAGGTAAAAAAGGTTTTAATGATCTGAAAAAATGGATACCAGACCTGACGTGGTACAGAGTTAACATTGCTCGACATCATTGACTACTCTATAGCACGCCTGGAAATATTTACTGGCACTCTGCATTTAGTATTTCCCCCGAGAGTTTATCCAAGACCAACTCTTGAGCGATGAAATGGGCATATTGTCCATGTATCAACATCGTTAGGTCGTTGGAAAACAGCTGCTATATTCAATATCAAACCCTATTCGATGAACACACCAGTGAATGAAAAATGAGCCAAATGCCCTGCTATTTCCTTGTCACACGATAGCAAAGGTACTATTCGCCTATTCCCTTTTCTGTCTTTTGGATTGTAGCCACAATAATCCATAACAAGAGATTCAAATGAAGAATAAATTTCCAATCTTCAAAATATTTAAACTAAGTTCTTTACTTGTTGCGTTTTATCAGATGAAATTAAGTGTGACGTTACGTTTTATAGGTAATTGCCTACAAGTAGTAACAAGTTTAAAAAAAATATGAGTTTTATCTGAACACGAAACCTCTCATTCCTCCTATTTGTATTTCATATAAAAAAATTCCAGCAACTTTTCGAGTTAAGTAATTTCAAACCACCTGCTTTAAGGAATATAAATCTAACAATTGCGTGACATAAGTCACGCAGCGACAACCATGTCTACTCATTTCTATAAAACGAATGCTTTTGGAGAAAACCAAAACAACTTCTATCGTATTGCAAGTACTTTGAAGACGATATTTATACCATTCAAGCATTCATTATTCCTACTAACTGCAAATGATAAACAAGTCGGTCTTTTCTTTTACGTCGCCGACTCCGCCGAAAAGCAAAATTCCTCTGAATTTAAACCCTTCGTATGCATAGCAGTACAAAAATACCAGAAAAAACTCTACGAACGGTAAGTTTATCATTTTTACATTTCGTATTTTAAGTAATAAACTTTTATTTCAATCAGCACATATAAAAATTTTTTTGAAGCTATGCTACTTTTCACACGGCACTTAAGTAACTAGATAAAAAAATCCGTATTTTATTCCAATGTTTGATTTTTCTTGAATACCTCTCCTAAGTGTCCCTGTCTGAGAAAGTGCACCACAGGGCAAAGCGGTGGTTAAACGATTTGGCTGAAACTTGGCACAAAAGTTGGGTGTGATAAGATATTTCAAAAGCCACTTTGGTTCACTTCTCTGGCTATTTATTCTAGAGTTTCAGGGGGGTCCCATTTGTGGCTCATAGAGCAACACAATCCAGCCTTCCAGGTAGCATTTCGAAAAAATGCTATAAAAATCCTNAGCTCTTATAAATACCAATGATGGCATCAGTAAAAGAGCAGGATGATACATACAAGGTGTAGTGAATGGCGTCCAGGTGACCTGTGATCCATCCGATTTCCCTGCTACGTCAAATCATCCGGCAGTAAATAAGAAACCCACAGTTAGGAGAGCTGGATAACAAATATTTTGTGTTGCAGTTTCTTTGAAACATGCCATGCAACACCTCGAGATACGATTGTTATTGTATCGACAGGTCCACCATATTGGACGTGAGGGTGAGAGGATTGGACTAAGTCGAGGAGTCACGCAACCTGCACTGAGTTCTGAGTAACGCGTGTTTGTTGACTATCACTTGTGACAATCACAGGAATTTGCTAACTGTAGAAGAGGTTCATAATACAACGCCCTACGATTAGCACCATTTATAATTTTAACTTCAAAAAACTTGCACAATGACTGTAGTTGTCTGAGTTTTTGCTTTTGCAACATCTTTGTTAATCTTCCCTTGGCAGAGAGTTCGCGAAAGTTGAAATCTTCATACAAAAGCGAGTTAGAAAACATCCAAACTATTTTTGAAACATGTGTTCTAAGCTCTTTTCATAAGAAATATATCAAGGAGAGTTTTTTTTGGAAGGGAAGTTCAGAGGACCGCTCTTAGCGAGAGTGGTGCTTAAAAAGCCATTTGCTACATTTGTGCGTGTGTATGAGCCCTCTCTGATACTTTGAATTACCTGTACTTGTAGCTTTGGTAACGCGCGGTCTTCCTCTCGCCCCGGACGCACCTGACAACCTTGTATTGTGTTTTAACCAAGCAGTTATGTCATTATCGCAAGACAGCAAAGGAGTCATTCCTGTTTCCTGCAGAGCCTATGACGCGGCACCGCACTGATCATTTACCCCTCCAAAGGAGCAAAGCGCCATCGTAAAATTATCCTGAAACTTCTTATCGCTACACTTTTAATATTTAATAAGGACACAAACAACATTTACGTTTGAATAGGGGGATGAATAGACACTCGGTCCAGTCCTAATACTCTCACGTTCAAAGTGGCGGGTCCTACTGGCATCATCTCATGTCTCGTCTGGAATATTTCATATAAACATAAATAATTTTTTGTCATCCAGCTCTTCTGAATGTGGATTCTCTCTTTGTTGGATGGTCCCATTTATTCAGTTCCAAAGTGCCCAAGATCTCTGGTGGATGACAAGTCACCTGGACGGTGCTCGCTGCGGCACGCAAGCTTATGTATACATGGTATTTGTGGGAGCTATTCAGTCTATTCAAACGTCAGACGTAGATCATCTTCTAACTTTTCTGGTCACTTTATTTTCAATGAAAAAATGGCCTGAGAAAATAAAGAGCCTCTGCATGCTTGGAGTATAATATGTACGGAAATATGGCCTTCCAAACATAGGTCAGAAAAAGTTCAAGCATCTTTAAAAAATATTTTCATATCAAGGTCAGAACATCATAGTTTTTGCTCTATGATGGGTACAAGATTTTCATAGGAAAAAAGTACCTTTATTTTGCTAAACCACTAGGTGCCTGTGCTGCTATTTATAGGTCTTCTTAGAGCATTTGCAGGCTATGAGTCGAGGTATCTCTAAACAAAGACACTTATTTGGCTTTAATGTTCCATTTCCACTCACCAAATACAAAATCAAGGCTTTCTGTCAAGAATTTGGTCTGTTTATAGCATGAATTCTGCTAAAATCTCCATTTTGCTTGGCCTCTGAGGGGCATGGAGAGTTTCTGCCAAAAACCTAACAAACCTCGATAAGTCAAATGTTTCTCAACTGTGTTTGATCAATTGGCTCACTTCAGTACATACTGGATGAGGTATGAAAGTTATGCAAGAAGGGAGGTAAATGTTATGCTTTTTTGAAAAACAGCAGTTCTGGTCGTGATTTTCACCTCAAATTTGACCTAACTTTAGTCTAATTGCTTGAGAAAAAAATTACGTTTATGAAATAAAATGTCCACTTTAGTAGATCTAGAGTCCATTGTCAAATTCATTCGGCGGCACAATTTACCAGTGGAGTTTTATAGCACCTAGAAGGATGAATTTTTGGTGCTCCATAGGCCAAAAATGGGCCCCTCCCCCCGAAAACCTAAATAGTTAGAGAAGTGAGTCAAAGTGGCTTTTGAAATATCTTATCTCACTCACTTTTTGTGCCAGGTTTCAGTCAAATCGGTTGACCACCACTTTTAGCCCCTGGAACACTTCCTCAGACAGGGACACTGAACTATTTCCTGTTAAACTTAATACTGATCCAGATCTTATATTGCAGTTGTACCCTCAGATTTCCCGGCTCGATGTATCCTAATGATACTCTGGGCCGGGTTGTTCAAAGCTGGGTTAAGATAACCCAGGGTTGTGTGAAATTTGATTTCAGATCTGAAAGCTCTGAAAGAAAATTTAGTTTAATTCCATTTGTCTACAATTTGATGATTGAATGTCCTAGAAACAATTACGAAAATTATCCCAAAACGCCTTTTGATCAGAGAAATTTAGAAACCTGGATTAAAATTTCACCTGGGTTAGTGCTAATCGGCTTTTGAACAACTGGACCCTGATCAATAAAGCACTAATTATTCTAAACCTTTGAACTCGTCAAGCAAGCATCATAAACAGGTTATAATGCATATAATGACGAGTGCAGTACATACACATCACTTTTGGTTGACAGCCGTTCCACATGGCCGTAAAGAATCTCGGGTGCACTCCATTTGATTGGGATACATCCCTGAGTGAGTATTTAGAATAGTATAAGCATATTTCATTTAAAGACACTGCAAAACAATATCTGAAATATATTCCATAAAGATTTATACCCTTTTTTCACCAGAGATGCAAGGAGTCGCGATCAATTTAAGAGCAACACACGCGTTTCTATACATTTCTTTAGATACAAACCACGTGCTCCTTTTTCTTTACATCTCCTGTGTTACTCTAACCCTCTACATGTTTGAATTGGTATTCTTGACTTAAAAGAACATTTGTGAGAACCTGCATTCGAAAGAATCGCTTCCCGGCTAGCTCAATTGGTTGAGTGCCGGACTGTTGTGCGGTAGGTGGAGGGTTGAAGCCCCGGCCGGACCAACACTCATGGTCTTAAAGATAACTAAGGAGAATGTGCTACCTTTCTATAACATCAGGAGACGGATAGACATTCTAGTCTTCTCGGATAATGACGAGTAAACTGTAGGTCCCGCCTCCTGCATCTGTTCATTAGTTAATTTGATTAGGCGGAGGACGTTAAAGATCCCAATCACGAGATTACTGTGATGTGGTCTGGCCTGTTTAGTGGGAATTAGGGGGAGGGGGCTTCTCTCAGATTCGCCTTTATTTGATTGTAAACTGCTTAGCAGTCTGGTAAAGTCCCCCAAACAGTGTTGTAATTATTATTATGTTTATTATTATTATTTGTTCTACTTACTACTATTATTATTATTATTATTATTATTATTATTATTATTATCATTATTTGTCAAATACGATTTTCCTATTCCCTGCGTTTACTCCTTTGGTGCAGTGTACATTTTTGTTTTGTTTGAATGAAAGGTTCCAAACAATCAGAATGGCATTCTGATAAGGGACACAGATTTGGCGGTAAAACGGTATAAAAGAAAGTAAGGCTCGTCAGGATAGTTCACGTTTTGGTTTGAGTTTCAAAATAGAGGCCTAGTTGACGTCATTAACTGGCAGACGCTCATTTTTCGTTTTAGTTTTTTCACATTTGAATCTTTCAAACCAACAGTCCCAAAACAAATTTCTCGTCTATACCTCAGGTTTATACGTCAAGGAAGCTAACCTCACAATATGGTATATGATGTATTTGATGACACTCAAATAAAAATCCCCTAAAAAAGTGATTAAAAAATTCTGAAAACTACCTTCTTGGCATTTCCTGTGCCGTATTTGAAATCCTGATAAGAGAGCCCAAAATCAGTCAACTTGCATACACGATGCTCATCGAGAAGGATGTTGCGAGCTGCAAGATCGCGATGAATTATCTGAAATTGAAAAAGGATCCGATGGACCGGTAACGAAATCAATAAAGAAAAAGCATTTTCCATCAAAGAGGAAAAAGGAATAAAGAGGTATGTTTCCGACTGTTTTCTTGTGACTTAGTGATTCCAATATGCCTGATCATTTTAGTCGTGTGGTGATCGATTTGCGAAAAGCAAACCAAGAGGAGTTTGAGCACTTACCCCTCTAGACGCGAGAAATGTCATACCATTTGCGATCTGTTTAGCGAACAGCACCATGTCATATGTTGTCAAGTGGTCGACCCTTCCGACCCCACGATGATAGTGGTCGAATACCCCCCTGGATTTTCTGAGGTAACCCAGCAAGTCACCTCTCCACAGGTACTCCATGATAAGTATTGGCTGAGCTAAATAAGTTAAAAAAGAA